GGCTCAGCCGAGCCGAGGCATATGCGTTCGGCTCGACTGAGCCGCTCGGCTAAGTTCAGGAGCTGTACGGGCTATTGTGAATAGCCCGTACAGGAGCCCTTCGGTTCTACTGAACCGAAGGGGTCCTGGGGCCGAAGCCAGCCGAAGGATCGGCCAAAGCTACGGCTAGATCCTTCGGCTGCTTCGTGAATAGACCCATAATCTTTTCTTAATATTATGCTAACAATTTAGTAAAACATTTTTTTTCCTCTGCATGCATTGCAATGTATCGTCAAAAGGGGTATAAAGCTCTCCAAAAGTAAAACACATACATCAATTTTGAGCTTTACCATTCCCCTCCATTACATAAACGTCACACTAGAGTGATGATATTTTATTCAGTAGACTTTATTGATTAAATGTTGGGGTAAATATGTGGAGATGTGCAAAAATTACAGGGAAAGGCATTATTTTCTCATTTGTTTCCCAATAGGAACCAAAGAAATAAAAATATATGTATCCAAATTTTCTACCAAATTACAGCACTAACTATCCCGAACAACACACTTCAAAATACTGTACAAGGGTGGACTTCAAAACCTAAAAGATATAATGTACAGAGCCAAGATATTGCTGAAATAAAAAAAAAATGCTCTAGGACTCAAGGGGGCATAGGTAGAAAAAGGGTTAACTATCATTGGCATTTACAGGTAGCAGTCTGTCTGTGGCTAGTTGTGGTATAAAGATTAATCAACTATGTGTGGCCATGTGAGAACTGTGGTCTCCCACAGTGATCGTAGCTATTAACTGATTAGTAATTAGTAATGGAAAGGAGGCAACTTTTAAAAATGATTATATGGACAAATCTTTCCATTGCTTTAGGCTGGATTCATGCTGTTGCGGTGCATTGAGGCATGCTGTTACATGCATTAACAAGCTTTGCATTAAGGCAGCCCTGTTATTTTAAATGGGCCATTAACACACCACAACACATTGTGCAGACAATCTGTTGTCTGCATTCTGCACTACAATTCAGATGCATTATGGTGTGCTGTGTGTCTATGGTTGGGTTCCATTGAAATGCAATACATTAATATGAATCCTACCTTAAGGTTATTATCACCAAATACATTCAAAAGATAGCACCATTACATTCCACAGAATGCATCCCAATCCACACATAGACCATGCACCCCAATTTATTCTGCTCACCCTATTAGTTAATCCAATATACTGTGCACACACCACTATTTACCCCTATTCACTCTTCACACCACTGTTCACCGGGTTCACACTTCACAACCCACTATTTACCTCAATACACTCTGCACACACCACTCTGCACACCCCACTATTCACCCCAATACACTCTGCACACCCCACTATTCACCCCAATACACTATGCACACCCCACTATTCACCCCAATACACTCTGCACACACCACTATTCACCCCAATACACTCTGCACACACCACTATTCACCCCAATACACTCTGCACACCCTACTATTCACAGCAATACACTCTGCACACCCCACTATTCACCCCAATACACTCTGCACACCCTTCTATTTACCCCAAATACACTACACACCCTACTATTTAACCCAGTACACTCTGCAACCCTTATATTTACCCCTATGCACTCTACACACTCTACTGTTCACCCGGGTTCACACTTCACACCCCACTATTTATCTCAGTACACTCTGCACACATCACTATTCACACAAATACACTCTGCACACACCACTATTCACCCCAGAACAATCTGAACACTCTACTATTCACCCCAATACACCCTACTATTTGTCTCAGTACACTCTGCACACCCTACTATTTACCCCAAATACACGCTGCACACCTTTCTATTCAACCGAGTACGCTCTGCATACCCTTTTATTCAACCCGGTACACTCTGCACACCCTACTATTTACTGCAATACACTCTGCACACCTTACTATTCACCCAAATGTATGCTGATGCTGCAAACCCTACTATTCACCCCAATACACTCCATACACACACCATGTATACCAATACACTCTGCACATACCACCCATTGGCCCCAAACTCCTATTCCGTTTACATAGTTACATAGTATTTGAGGTTGAATAAATACACATGTCCATCAAGTCCAAACTATTGTGTGTGTGTGTGTGTGTGTGTAAAGATCCCCGAGTCATCTCGTTTTTAGGAGTACTTGTACCCCTGTATATTACCGTTTCTCAGGAAATCGTCCAAAAGCTTCTTGAACGATTCCACACTATTAGCTGAAATCACTGCTTGTGGCAACGAGTTCCAGACCCTAACTGCGCGAACTGAGAAGAATCCCCTTCGCCCCTTGTGTTTGAATTTTTTTTCTACCAGTTTCAGGTGGTGTCCTCTAGTCTTTGTTACGGAATTAATCGTAAAGAGTTTGTTGCTAATGTTGCTATGACTATGGAACATTTTGTACATGAAAATCATGTCCCCCCTTAATCTCCTTAGTTCCAGCGTGAACATATTTAAATTTAGTAACCGTGTCTCATAGCTCTGGTCCTCCATCCGTTTGATGAGTTTGGTCGACCTTCGCTGGACTTTCTCCAGTTCAAGGACATCCCCTCTGTGTACCGGTGCCCAAAACTGCACCGCATACTCCAGGTGAGGCCGAACCAGTGATGTGTTTGCTTGGGCACAGGATAATGAGGTATTATTTCAGCAAAAGTTGTAGATTTAAAAACATTAAAAAACCTCTTGAAATAACTTTAACATGCTAAAGCTTACATAAGATTTTAGTGTTTAAGTGTGATTAACTTCACACTTAAATCATGCCCAATGTCTTCTTTTTAGTTGAATGCAGTTCCATGGACTTGAGATGTGGTGATGGAAAGTGTGTACCTTTGCAATGGGCTTGTGATGGATGGCAGGACTGCTCTGATGGAAGAGATGAACTGGACTGTCCTGAGATACCTGATCCAGAATCAGGTAATAATTTCATAATCTGGTGGCCAATATAGTTACCTTACTGCTAGTTCTAAACCACAGATTTGCTTCTGAAATTTATAATGACAGGCTTCACCTAACTTTGTTTCTTTTCTTTTTCTGTTCTAGAGAGCCCATGTCAGCCATTGAATGTTCCATTATGTCAGGGTCTATCTTATTCTCTCACAGTGTTTCCCAATCTCTGGGTGTCTCTTCTGGAGCAACCCGCTGCCAGTGAGCTGCTCAAAGGATATAAGGTAGCGTGGTTGCCTTTTTTTAACTTTTGTAATTGAACTAATTAAAAAGCAAGTGCACTTTCCTAAATATCTGCATGTTAAAATAGTAGCTGTCAGTAGCTTCCCTCACCACTACTTTCCCTGCTCTATTGTGCAGAAGTAACCAGGCTTGGTAACTGGAGATGTGTCTACAGCAGGGTGCTAAACTGCTGCTAATCTGAGCTGCCAAGGATGTGTGTGCATAGGGGTGTTATACTGCAGGAGTCTAGAGGCTGGTTATGTGTGTGCATAGGGGTGATATGCTGCAACTTTTGCTTCCAGAGCTGCTGATTTTCTTTTTAACTTCCGCTGCAATTTGTTGGTGTTACAGGGACTGTTAAAGAATGGGCTAACACACATCCAAAACAGTGACATTGTTTGCCGGGGTGAATGGAAGATGTAGTACTGGCATGGGGGCGTGATAACAAATCCTTGCTGATTCCCCGGAGGGCGTTTGCATAGGCTAGTTTAGAAGGATTTATTGCTGTAACAGTAACAGAGGGTGTAAAGTAATTACAAATTATCTTTTAGACATGCCCAAAAAAATTTGCATAGAAAATTTGGCAGCGAAGGGTGAAAGCATATGTATCTGAAAAATATCAGCTATGTAATAAAGAGTGCTGACTTTGTATGCAGATTAGTGAAAAAATGAAAACTCTCCACTCCACTAGTTATTTAGCTGAAGAGACCCCATAATTTTTCCTATTAGTGATCTGGTAAAAAGAGACCCTCGTACCAGCTTGCTACAGGCTCTGGAGTGAACGGCACCACCCTACACCCCAACAGAGCCCTGTCTATACAGAAAATATGTTGTTTTACTGACTTGACAAGATCACAAGATAGCTGAACTCATCAAAAAAACCACAGAAGTTTAAACCAAGGTGTAGGTTTACAGAGGATTTGTTTTTCTGATTTCTGGCAGGCCCGAAGGTATTATTTTGCTTGCATAATTCCTTGTGACAGAATCTAAACCAGGTTTCCCAAAAGTGGACACTATTGATACCCTGGGATTGATTGGACTAACAAAGGGATTGATAAAATGGCTGGGGGTAAAATATGGTCAGTAAATGTCTAGGGTTCAGTAGGTGATCATTCGATGATGGAAGGTCAATTAAAGTGACATTAACCCCTTCATGACTGAGGCCTTTTTTCCATTTTTTGTACCCATGTTATATTCCACATTTTAGGCCGGAAAATTACTTAAAACCCCCCAACATTATATCTTTTCTGAATGCCAAGACCCTATAGAATAAAATGGTGGGGGGGCGGCCCCTTCTTCGGGACGCAGAAGCGATCTGGCGACAAGTAAGTCGCCAGGATCGCTTCTGTTGTAAAGCCGACAGTCGGCTCTACAAGTTTAAATAGAGTCCCGGCGGCAAAAGTCACCGGGAGTCTGTTTAAACAGCCCCGATGCTGGCGACCTACACTGTACGTCGTCAGTCACGAAGGGGTTAAACTCTCTCCCCCCAATGCTCCTGTGGGTAATTACCTTATTTGATGCTACATGCTACGATCATCTTCTTCCTTCCACTCATTTCCGACACTCCATCCAGCGCTGGTGCCGGTCTCTGATCCACCGCAGACTCCTCATACCCCACGATGTCTGTCAGGTGTGCGTGCTCCCGGCTGCGTCCATTCACTGTCATTGTGTTTTCTCCCCCTCCAATCTACTGTGCATGTGCCCGCACACTTTCTCCTTCACAGCCGTACGGGAGCCAGTTCTTTAGCCGGAAGTGAGCGGCGCTGGAACAGGTAAGTAATTAGGTATTTGCCTAATTTTTTTAAAAACATGGGGCATATATCTTCTGCTTGCTAGCAGTAGACATATGACAAAAAAAACTAAAAACTTTAATTCTACTTTAATTATTTTTGTTTTCTGTAAAACTCTGCACCAGTCTCTAGTCTTGAAATTCAGGGGGCTAGAAGCAAGACAGTGTTACCAAGGGTTGGATTGTCCGCCACCAGCTAGAGCGGCCTAGAGTTGTATCAGTTGTGTGTTGTTAATGGCCTTGTTTACCAGGTTTTACTAATTGTGTGTCTGTGACCTTCCAACCTCCTACCTCCAGGAAGGGTATATGCATGGACTCACTTCCCATACTGAGCATAGCCCCCACATAGAACTTTGTTGGAGAGTCACTGAGTACATTCGCCTCAAACTCTGGAGAGCCAATGAGTACACCTATAGCGATAGGATTAGTGCCAAAGAACTGATTGCTATGCACTTACTAAAAATTCAGCATTGTAACAACCATAATGGCAGCTGATGATACAAAGAAAAGGGTTGACAGTGAGTCACAAGAGTATTTAAAACTCTGATTGATAGCTTAATTTACCAATGAAACAATGCCCATGTGGGTATGAAGTGTAAAGACTTACAGTAATACTGCTGTGAAACGTTTGATAAAACCTTTGCTTTTTTACATAATAAATGCTTTGAGGTCAATGAACAATCTGAAATTCATAAAGGTGCTCATGAGCTATAGAGAATGGGCAGTGGTGTATTTAGGTTTGGGGCTGCCCTAGGCAAGACAAAACTCGGGCGCCCCCCCCCCCATACACAAAATTTACCCCACCTGGCTGTGGTCTCAGGAGGGCTCTGCAGGATCTGTGGTGGTCGCTACAGGATCTGTGGTGGGCTCTGCGGGGTCTCAGGTGGGCTCTGCGGGGTCTCAGGCTGCTAAGCCCACCATAGACCCCACAGAGCCCCCCTGAGACCCGGCTGAGCCCTTCACAGATCCTGCACAGCCCCCCTGAAACCCTGCAGTCCACCATAGACCTTGCAGAGCTCACCCCAGATCCTGCAAAGCCCACCACAGATCCTGCAGAGCCCCCCTGTATATATATATATATAAAAATAAGTTTGTGTGTGTGAGGGACACACATGGACTGGGGTTGTTTATATATATATATGAAAACAACCCCAGTCCGTGTACCGCTAGCCCCACCCCCCCGGCACCTATTCAGAGCCCCCTCTCCTGCTTACCTTGTTGCAGGGAGGAGGCTGTGAGGCGGCACGTCCGTCCCGCGTACCTGACTTGTGAGCTGGCTGATGGCCACAAAGTACCGGCTCGCGGGCCGGTACATTTGCCACCCTGACGGAATCTGCCACCCGAGGCAAACGCCTTGTTTGCCTCGCGGCAGATACGCCCCTGAGAATGGGGACCCCTAATCTAAACTGATTAGAGTAACAGAGCTGGAGAGTGGCAGGCACTCAGATTAAACTAAACTATAACAAAATATAGAGCTGTACATAATAACATAGCAATTCACAATGCAACATAGAAAGTGACTTCTGCAGAAGCACATCAGAAGATGGAGTTGCAGCATTTTAGTAGAGATAAGCTGGGTGTGTTCTGGTCATAGGTCTGTCTTTGTGAGTGTGTATGCCCTTGTTATGTTTTCTCAGATTATTACATTGCTTTTGTTAACACTTTGCTAACACTTTCAGTAGTACATTTTACACAGCTGACAAGAGACAAAAAAGTAGTACAGCAAATTGAAATGCACTCTTGTATATACATGAACAGCTTGCACCTTAAGGAACCAAGTTAGGCTTTGCCCAAAAGGTGTATTTAAACTTTGTGTAATTGCCATATTTTTTTCTGGGAAATCAAATAGCATGCAGATAGGCTTGTATTATTTCTAGACTCCTTAATCAGTTGACATCCTTAGTAAGAGCTGGACAGAAGATTTGTTGTATGTCTTTTTTGCTCTCAAGTATTAAAAAGATATGTATGGAAGATCTAGAATGATACGGTCTGAACATTGTTGGTTTAGCTTGATCAAATGCATAACCCTGGAATGAGAAAATCAGGTAGAAAAAATGTCTGTCTTGTGGCATGTTTTTTTTAGGGAGAAATGCTAAATCTAAAAGTGATTCCGAGATAAACTGGTTGGGGAGAGTGTTAAGATGGGGGTAAGGATCTTATTTTGCTAAAAATGCTTTAAAGCGGACCTTTAGCCATATCTTTAAAATAACAACAAACACGCCTTTAGAAATGTTTAGTAATGACAATCTCCAAACACATACTTCTAGATAACTGCAGTTGGCTTTGTATTATTTGCATCCCTTATATCTCTTTTCTTCCCCAGTCTTCTGACAGTGGCCATGTTTACTAAGGGCAGATTACTAGCTCTCCTTTTACTTCCTGGATTTCTGGCACATATGACTAGACATGTGACTAGGACATGTAACCATACACATAATCTCAGGGGAGGAAAATGCCTTTCCCTGAGATCTTGTGAGGTTACAGATGAGATTTCCCAGCAATGCTCTGCCCAGTGTGCATTGCTTTGCCAAACTGAAGTAATTTTCCCCTTTCAAAGCAGGACGTGAATGCTCTGCAAGTGTAAGTATTTCACAATCACAGCATTTTACACTTGACATGTCTGTGTTATTATTAATTATCATACATAGAGGAAATCATTGGTTGAATTTGATTTTTGAGTGTAATGGTCAGCTTTAATGGCATTTCAGAAGGATTAACTGTTACAATATCTTATCAGAAAGAAAAAAGTTATACAGAAGAAGGGCTTCTTCCCACTTGAATCTGCTAACATTTTGTGGTAGAGCCAGTGCTGCACAAAGAGGATGCATGTGGAAAGCACATTTGAAGCCAAGGTTAAATTTATGGATCAGAAGTTACACTTCCTTACAGATACACACAGGTAGACATGTGTAGGCATATAATGCAAGATGAATTTGTTGATGTTCTAACCTCATTGATGACTATATAGAAATAATTAAAGTAACCACTAAAGCATTGGTTTGGTGCCCAAGCTGAGTTAGATAAACCACGCAGTATGCACAACAGCAAAGGTGCCATGAGAAAAATTGAACGTTAACTCTGTCAGTGGAGAGATGAGCAGTGTAAAGGGAGACTGCACTGCATCTGAAGTCTGATTTTGTTTTAGCTAAGGGCGGGGGAGATCCATACAAATTTTTTTTGTAGACAGCTACCCCTGTACTTTAAGTCAGGAAGCACTGGACTGCACAGATATATGCTTATATGTTATGCAGCCTGTTGATCTTAGCTATTTTTAAAAAAAATTCCCTTTACATTTTCATTAAGTATCACTATTCTTATTTTCTCCAACAGATCCTCCAGGATCTGCCATGTTTTCCTGCTATGCGCCCATTACTCTGTGCCCTGTTGGTTCCCAGCTGTTCATCTGATGGTGGAGCTTTACAGCCCTGTCGTTCAGTGTGTTTGAATGCAATGCACTTATGCTCGACTCAAATTGAGCAGCTTGGCTTCTCTTGGCCGTTCAAGTGTGACCATCTACCACCACGTAGCCAGCAACCAGACTGTGTCATTCCTTGATAAACTCTAGTATACCGACTGAGTTTAGAGTGACCATACATGTAAAATGTGAAATAAAATAAAATGCATAATGTTTATCAGCCTGAAGTCTTCTTTTTTTCTCAGGTGGGACCATTTATGAGTAGCTTGGGATATGTTTTCACTATGTCTTATAGTATAATCCCAGCTGGCTCTTTTTGGAATAAGCATTGATTCTCTTTTGGGGTGTTTAGATTTCTACAAATCTTTGTGCTATTTTCCAAAACATAGAGAGCGATTTTAGTACCATTAATAAATTGCTAACAATTGCCATTGTGTTCCTGCACTTATCTGCCTCACGTTGTGGCTTGTGTGTTAAATAACAGTGAGCTTAAATTTCATCTCAAACAAAGAGGATAGTAACATTCAGAATGCACATCAGATATCTACATTTTCATCAAGGGAGAACCCAGCAACTCAGATTTAGTTTTAAACTTGAAAGAGCATCCTCTACTCTCACTTGTGAGCTTTTAACAAGGGTAGGAAAGCAATAAACAAAGCCTACCACTAGGATAATTTTGGGTGGACAGATTTCTATGTAAGGATCAGTTGAGAAGTATGAAAAAAGATCAGAAAAAGAAAAATCCAAGCATTGCTAGTCTGAAGAAGATCAATGATCACCCCCAGAGTGCAAACTTTTGGATTCAGCAAAATAGTTAAATAGTTTGTATGACTTTGGTCCAGCAGAGCACACCTTCATATGGTAAAGTGTGCCCTTTAAATCTCTGACATTTAAAGTACCTAGAGTTAATCTGTTATAGACATATAGTAATACAAAAATCACTGCGCTAGGAGTGAGTATCTAAATAGCTAATTAGACCAGCCGCAACAATGTGTAAAAGTGAATATAATTGTGTAGCAAATAAGTTGCGCTCGGTCTGAGTGGATGTTAATTCAATATTTGTGATGAACAATCTCTTAGTTTAAAGAGGAAAAAAATACAGTGTACAATAACCGGAAATCTATATCTCGGCATGTGACAGTGAAATGTAACGAAAATAAATGGTGAAAGTATCAATCACAGCCCAGTGTGTCATTGAGCGTTCATTTATGTTTAAACGCACCCAAAGTAGCCAAACAAGCACTCTAGTGTTATAACCATAAATCTGGAAACTTTTTTGTAATACGTGTATGGGTGACCAATATCATAAAATCGCCATAAGTGACATCAATACGGTGAGCAGAAAACAGTTGAAGTATCCTAATCACACAAAAAAAAACAAAACAACGTGGTGAAAATCTAAATATTATACACACACACCTATATAGTGTCATATTACACATATAATAAATATACCGTGCAACTCAGTGCGCTCTGATTATTTTCTGAATATAGAGGGTTAAATATCCAGAATGATAGTAACAGTATAGCAAGCAGTCCTTTCAAAGATTAGGTAGTATGCATGAGATGAGGTTAAAGCGGTTACTTTCCTTTTTTCAATGCTGCCTGGGTGGGTAATCCATTCACTCACTAGACAAGTGTCCAAGAAAAACGTATCCAACCAATCGATGGCCCAGTGGTGTGTGGGCGGGGCAGGAGCTGCGGCCGGCTGGCGTGTGGGCGGGCGTGTGGGCGGGGCGGGAGCTGCGGCCGGTCTTTACACAGTTTATGTGCAGCTACCCCGAAAGTAAGACCTAGCGGATCTCTGTAATATAATACCTACCACCGAACTAGGTCTTATTTTCGGGGTAGGTCTTATATTACAGAAATCCCTGAAGATAGTGCTAGGTCTTATTTTCGGGGTAGGTCTTACTTTCGGGGAAACACGGTAGTATGCATGAGATGAGGTTAAAGCGGTTACAAAATTCACGAACGGTTAGAGCTTTAAAAGCGTTAGCAGAATCTCAGCTGTGAGCGGCGAGGACAGATCTTCCTTTGACTAGTTTCGTTCATTAACTTTTTCAAAAAGGACTCCTTTTTGAAAAAGTTAATGAACGAAACTAGTCAAAGGAAGATATGGAGAATGGAGAAAGGAGGCGGGACCCTAGTTTCGTTAAGAAAAATCGGTATGAGAGGAGAAAATTACGTCTGATCGTTGGATTTGGAGAGTTAAGAGATCGACGGATCACTGAATTCTCAGGACTCCCCAGACTCTCTGGGCCAGCGATTGGTTGGATACGTTTTTCTTGGACACTTGTCTAGTGAGTGAATGGATTACCCACCCAGGCAGCATTGAAAAAAGGAAAGTAACCGCTTTAACCTCATCTCATGCATACTACCTAATCTTTGAAAGGACTGCTTGCTATACTGTTACTATCATTCTGGATATTTAACCCTATATATTCAGAAAATAATCAGAGCGCACTGAGTTGCACGGTATATTTATTATATGTGTAATATGACACTATATAGGTGTGTGTGTATAATATTTAGATTTTCACCACGTTGTTTTTTTTTGTGTGTGATTAGGATACTTCAACTGTTTTCTGCTCACCGTATTGATGTCACTTATGGCGATTTTATGATATTGGTCACCCATACACATATTACAAAAAAGTTTCCAGATTTATGGTTATAACACTATAGTGCTTGTTTGGCTACTTTGGGTGCGTTTAAACATAAATGAACGCTCAATGACACACTGGTCTGTGATTGATACTTTCACCATTTATTTTCGTTACATTTCACTGTCACATGCCGAGATATAGATTTCCGGTAATTGTACACTGTATTTTTTTCCTCTTTAAACTAAGAGACTGTTATAGACATATAGTCTGATGGAAGAATAGTATAATAGGTACTATAAAATAACAACTTTGTCTCTAGAGGATATTCCAATTTCCAATATCCAGATATTCTCTTAGTCATCTTTTAACAAGGATAAGGTATTCATATTTTTCCCATAAATTTTTATGGGGGAAAGGGTTCTTATAACTTCTTCAGTGATTGGTTGTAGCATACAGCACTATTCAGGGCTTTGGAAAGGTGCATTAGATTGTTAGGGCAGATCAAATTCGAAGAATTACTCTGTTAGGTATACATTTGCCAGAATAACATTTGTCAATGTTTTGTGTGCAGTGGCTTTTCCTGCCTTTAGGCCTTGTTCACGCAGTGTAGTGGGTTGTGCCGCGTTTTAGACGCGTTTTGGATGCGTTTTTGATGCGTTTAGGGCCGGTTTTGGTAAAAAAAAATTAAAAAATTTTACGTTTCACATGGACTTTCAGGCACTTGCATGCGTTTTTGCGTTTTAGATGAGTTTTTGATGCGTTCCAGACCAGATCCAGAGCAGGTAAAATAGGGCTTGCCGCATTTTTTTCATCCGGTCTGGATCTGGTCTGGATCCGCACGCTGCGATGTGAACTGGAGGTCAAAATACCATAGGAATACATTGGACGCAGTTTTGATCCGGTCTGCACCTGCTCTGGTCCGGATCTGCTCCGCGCTTGGTGTGAACAAGCCCTTAGACCTGGGCAAGTGTTATTTCCCCCACTAGGTTGCGCAGCTTATCAAAGTTGGCCCTTCTGAAGTTTAGGGTTCTAGTCCTTCCAGTACACTTCCCTTTTCTGTGTTCAATATTAAAAGTAATCACATTGTGATCACTATTACCCAATGACTCCCCAATTACAATATCAACTCCCCAATTACAATATCAAGTTGTATGATAGGTTTGTTTAGGAAGGATAATAAATCTACAGCCAGTTTATTGAAAGTAGTAGAATTAAGGTAAGTGTTCCACTGTTCTTAATTAAAAAAGAAGAGGATTAAAACGCCTTATATTGGGCTTGTCAGATTTCTGAAGAGAGACCACTGTTTCCACCAACAGAATGTGTAAATGTACAAACAATAGTTTGAAAACCCTGTTAGAAGGAATGCTGTGAGGCAGAGGCGTAACCAGTGACCTCAGGGTCCCGATGCAAGAATCCATGAAGGCCCCCCCCCCCCCCCCTCCCCAAGAAAAAGAAATTTAGACAAAAAAAAATATTCAAACCAAACCCCTTCATAATCTCAGCTCCCTATAACTCCCTCTTCGTGTCAGCAGCACGCCTCTGACACCCAGGGAGTTGGAGCTTTTCAAAGAACACAGGTAGTTCTACGGTCGGCAGCCGTTCTGTGTGATGAGGAGGCGGGGATAACCCGGTTCCCACTCATTGGCTCGATCGTTCTTCACCCTGCGCCCAGAACAAGGTGAGGGGAGCAGCGTGAAGCATGCAGGGCCCAGGATAGGAGGAAGAGGTCCCGATACTGATATTAGCGGTTACCGGGATATTAAATATCCTGGTAATCAGCGGTTACTACGGGCCCCTTCCTCCTGTCCTGGGCCCCCTCTAAGTGGCGGAACTCCAAGGCCCGGTCGCGGCTGCGACCTCTGTGACCCTGGTAGTTCCGCCACTGCTGTGAGGTTATAGACCCCTTAATGGAATATTGATATAGATCACTATAAAAGAAGATAAAGATATCTCTGATCTTCCTTGGGAAGGTAACACATGTTCTATCTGCTTGGAAATTCTGGGCATAGAGGTAGGTATAGTATGTGGTCATTGTTAGCTAAATATTCCAATATTTGAATATGGCCAAGAGTAGACATGTGCGATTCGTTTCGTTCCGAATCGAAATTCGGACGAAATTTCAGAAATTCTTAGATTCGGAGCATCCAAATTTCCGAAATATAACATATCCGAAATCATCCGAAAGCATCCAAATCCGAAATTTTGAATCCAAAATTTCAAATCCAAAATTTCGGATTTGGAACGAATTTCGTCCAAATCCCGTGCGTGCACTGTTAACATTTAAACGGATAAAAACAAATTAGGAAAAGGATTTTAACGTCCCTTTAATAGTAAAGACTAGAGCACAGCAACCAGAAATGACAAATGTGCCAATTCTGCTACCCCACCTCAAGTTGAATTTTCGGGAATTCATCCGAATTCCGAATCCGAATTTGAATCCGACATGAATTCCGAATCAGATCCGAATACGAATACGATTCCCAAAACTAAACACATATTGGATCCGAATTCCAAAAATGAAATAAACGAAATCCGAAACTAAACGAAACTAATTTTTAGCC